TGTCCTTAGCCTGATTTAACTTTTTAGTTAGTTCAATAAATAGCTAGTTGGCAGCTAGTTATCTTACCTAGTGATGAAATGTGTGTGAAAATAGGCAGACAGAGGGCACTTGCTTTGGCTCTGATTAACAGTTGGAGGCTGTTCCCAAGTCTGGACACAGAGAAAGATCTGTCACCATCACAGAGAGCCTCCCTTCTTAATTTGTCAGATTGGACATTGTGAAGAAGCACAAATGGCATTGGGTGCTTTTGGGTGTTTTTTCAACCCAGACGTTCAGGGCGCTCCTACAAAAACACAAGGCACATACAGTGGTAAAACATGAAGGTGCTCAGCAGTGCTAAAGCAGCGAGCAAAAAGCTTCACTTTAATTCAAAACAATTACAAAACGCTGCCAAAGGCTGCTTAAAAGCACCCTGTCTGATCAGGGCCTTCATCTGGATCGGCACATCATGGCCTTCGTAACATGGCTATTTCTATGTGCGATGTGGGCATCAAGTTTTGCAATGTGACCCTACTTGACGCAGTAGATAAATGACATAAATATCAGGGTCCATCCTCTGAGAACCATGAATATTCACACCAAAGTGCCCGGGGCTGAAAAGTGTTGGATGAACCAACTGTCTGACACTGTTCTCATCAGAACCTCCTGCTAGTGTTTACAGAAATGTGATTTTCTAATGTGACCGTAGCCTGACTAAAATGCTGAGTCGGATAAGTGCTGTCAGTCGTGGTGCTGTCCTGCAGCTTACGTCTTCAGACAGTGAAAACAGTGTCTCTGAGCACCGTGCAACTGCCCAGGAGGAGTCATGTCCTCAGCCTGATGACCATGCATTACTTGATCCAACTGAGATCAGCCTCGTCACACAAATAAGCCCCAGTGTTGCTTCAGCTGAAAACAAACTGTGAAAATCCTCCACACCGGACTGCAGCTCGTCTCCTCCATCACTTCTTCAAATGCTCAGTAACTCGATTCTGCATCAAGACTTTCCGTGAATCACACACAAAGCTGGTTGAACCATGTTAACCAGAGCAAAGAGAAGCATTTCAACAAATATTCCTGGTGACCCAATGTGGTCGTGATTCATGTTCCTCACGAGAGAGCCTGAAAAACAAAAGCCGGAGAACAGGAACCACCAAGGCTGAATTGTTTCCACTCAGCAGAGCCAAAGTTAATCACAGCGCCTGGTGAGCGCCGAGGCTCCAGAAAACCACTCTGCCAGGGCGAAGGGGATTGGTGAGTTTGGGGTTAGGGGAGGATTTGTCAGATGGAGAAAACAGATGGATGATCTCAGAGGAAGACGGAAGACAAATGTAATGAAGATGGAAAATATTGAAAAAATAATCACCAGATATTTTTCAAAGGGAACCTTGTGATCAGCCTCCTGATTGCCTGTTTATTCTGATGGTCATTACTCTTTTCAAAATACTCCCATTCATACAAACTTCCTGTTGATTCACTGTTGAGGATGGAAGACTCATGTGTCACAGTGACGTCAAAGCACACCATCCATCAACAGAGGAAGGTGGAGGAAGATGTTCTGATGAAAGATATCGCACATTTGATGCTGTGAAAATGAAGAACGATAAGACGATAAGACAACAGAAATAAATTCAGATGAACGGAAGTAAAAAAAATAGTAAGAGCTACGTACATCTAGGAAAGAATAAAAGTATTAATATGAACTATACGAGAGCAATTACAGACGAAGTTACAAGGTAAAGTGACGAGAACACCAGAACACAAAATATGATTGAAGCCCCAGATGGTAACTTTTATTTTAAAAAATCATAATTCCTGAAACTGTCACTTTGTTCACAGCATTATGAGACGTAATCTGTGAGATAAAATCATTCTCCTCTGCCTACTCTATTGTCTTGTAGCATTTCTAATGGCCTTCCTGCATGTGAATGAAGACAACCAATCAGAGCAACCCAGTCTCACTCCGAAGTTGTCAAAATTTCACTCGGGCAGTGACTTGCAGTGTCAGACACTGACGATAAAAGCTGTGCCTTAACATTGATGTTATACGCGGCCTGTCACAGTTATAGTTTAATAGCGCTTGGCAGCGTCAGGGGAAAGCGCAACGGGACAAGAACTAAAGTTAAGGTGGTGAAAGTCCAAGTCAGGTGGGTGGGAGTGGTGGTGGACGGGTCCAACAAAACAACACATTCTCACTGCGACCTCGTCACATGCTGACGTTTGGTTTCCACGTCCACATATGACGTTCAAGGTACCCTGGGTGTGTTGGTTGTTGACGTTCTGGGACGCCGTGTCAACTTCAGCCTGTTACATGCATTGTCTGTTTTCAAAATACACTTCTGTTTTCACAGGAAATGTACAGTTTGCATACAGTCTCTTTCAAAATAAAAGCACTATGTTGGTACAACACCACAAATTGACTGTTTTTTTTTTTCTTCAACAACAAAAACGCATGGTTACGTTTAGGAAAAAAAAAAAAACAGGGTTTGGCTTTACAATCTTGCAGGATGTGAACACGGCTCTCTTAGGTGAAAGTCAGTGTTTGTTAGACCCATCCAGATGTCAATATGTGACAAGGTCGGAGTGTGAATGTGTTGAACAGAGCCAAGGGGTCTCTAACACAGCTGTCAGTCATGTCAGTCGCTCAGTAAACTGCAGTTAAACTGTCAATCCAGGCAGCGCTGATCAAACGTGAATCAAGATTCTGTAACTGCATTGCCTCTGTCTCACCTGAGATGTTTTCAGAAACATATTTTAATGACTGTGTAGCTGTAAAAAGCTGAGGAAGTGTTAGCTCAGCTGAGAGGCGCTGTTTTGTTTCAGTTCAGCTGTTTCCAACATGGCGGCTGGGTCACAAAGTTTCTCATGTTACAGCTAAACAGTCACTAAAATATTTCTGTTTCTGAAAACATTTGAGGTGAGAAACAGACAGTGTGTTGACAGAATCTTGATTTATATTTGACAGTTTGAGTTTCTTGGTTTTTTGGTGCCAGAAGTGACCATATTTGGGCGAGAGGTTGGATCTGTGGAGGAGCGAGGGGTGTAGATGAGGACACTATCTGCAGACAGCCTGTCACTAAGAGCTGCCTGCCCATAGGCGAAATATGTGTAACATTAAACCTTAATAAAATGTAAACAGGTGAGTTATATTTAAAGTCAACCCTGTACAGTTGTCATGAATGTTGAAATCAGCTGTAGAGACCAGAATCATTTTTATACCAGACTGAATTTTAACATTGGGCTCTATGGAGAGTGACTTGCTTCTGGAGCCTCAACTGCTGTTATTTGTCGTTTTTGGCACTTCTGTGTTGACTTCATTTTTCAGCCGCGAAGGTTGCCGCTTGATTACGACCTATATACCTTTTCGACAGTCATGGGTTGGTTTGGTTTGGTTTGGTTTGGTTTGGGCTGTTAGCCCAGCACTGCAGGGATTTGCCTCTCCATTACAACAGGTCTACCTGCTTGAAGGTGTGTCTTTAACTAATTATGGCTTGTTTTGACTGATGATGTTTAAAAGCAGCGCGCTGATCCACAGCTTTAGTCCCCTGTTATGTTTGCTACATGTTTCCACAGGTAGAAGAAGTACCTGTTTGTCTGCAGCTCTTCATCAACATCTCACTGAGGCTTTTACTCTTCTTCCCTGCTGTATTATAAGACTTGCCTTTATTGAAGAAAAGCCTCTAACACAGTTCTGCTAATTCAGTAGTAACACATTTCATTTCCTACAGATCCTTCACAATAAAAGTCTCTTGTTATTTTGTTATGTATAAACTTTTATTGTGAAGCAGCAAAATAAGGAAATGTTGAGTTTTCATGCAGAAACTTCACACAGCTTCTGATAGCGAACACGAACCAGTAAAATAAAGCAGAGACGTGAAGTACAAACAGGACGCAGGAGAGGAACTAAACTCCATACCACAGAGATTCAGTCAGAAGCTACAGACGTTCTGAGAGCTGAACACACAGAGACTTTTAAAAACACCTTTCTCTCTGGTCTCCTGCAGACAGAGGTCAAACATCTCCTTATCAGACAATGTGATGATCAACAACAAAAGTCGACAAGTGATTCTCTCCATAAGATGTCAATATACCAGTGACACTCAGCTTATGGCCCCTGGGGTGCCTGGTGGCCCCCAAAACAGTTTCTAATCCACAATGGAATTTTTTTTTTTCTTTAGTGTACTTAAGGCAACGGAGTACAAATTAAAAGCATTAAAAGCATTGGCCCCTGGCTTTCTGTCCCTCAGCAACATACTCTCATTATAGCAGCATCTTATTATTGGAGGAAGTTCTACTCAATGAAACACCTGAAGGCAGAGCATCCTTCACATTAATCATAGGTTCACTGCAGACTTTAACACACAACCCTGAATCAAAGCACCCTGCTGTATCTTTTGATCTTTAACCCCAGACACATTAACCCTCTGTGTCTGTGTGGAGGGCAGACTGAAAAACAACAGGCTCCCATAAACAGAACAAACACTATTTATATCCGCCTGTGATGAACTTAAATCCAGCTGCTCTCTCTGACATTCCCCGAGAACTGTGACCTCCCGTGTTGTCGGCTCTTCTGACTGTTTACTGGAAGTCTTTATGAGTCAGCGCGTCTGCGTAATGACTCAAACTCCACCTAACTGGGACCTTTAATGTCTCTGTTACAACTGATGTGCAGCTTCTGAGTAGAGACTTGAAAATGTGCTTCTGTGCGTCTGATTTCAACATGAGAGAAACTTTCTCTGCTGCGAGGGTATTGTTAAGGGTGAGCCAACATTCCTGGCATGGCAGGGCGCCCCCCCACCTCCTCCTCCTCCTCCTTCCTCCCCTTCCTGCATCACCCAAAACAGACGCTCAAGTCATGTTGTAACACCCAAGGTTCCCGCCTCCCTCAGGGTTTAAAAATACACTTTATTGTCCTCCTCCTGCAGCAAAACAAGACCTGCAATCTGGATTTTAAATCAGCCTGATAAAACTAAGAGTTAGGGAGCTGGGGAAAACTTGGTACCTGAGTTTAAGAGCTCACCTGTAGATGCTGCACACGACCAATCATTAGCAGTCCAGGGGGAGGCGGAGGTCTCTTCTTCGGGGTCACTGCAGGGGTCATAGTGGCCCTCTGCGCCGTACGTCCGACAGGCTCGTGTTCATTCCCTCTGTGAGTCTGAAACACAAGCCAGCCATCCACACTTATATACAGCCGAGAGAGGGGGGCAGAGGAGAGGGAGGAGAAAGCGTCACCACCACAACACAGCGATTAGAGAGCAGAGAGGGAGGGGGGAAGGGGGGGCTGAGAGACGTAGAGACACACTGTAAAGACAGAGAGAGAGATTTAAAATCTCTGTGAGTTTGCTGAGCTCCTCTGAGGTCTGATCCTCTCTGCAAGAAAAGTCTCAACTCATCCACTTCAATCAGCATCAGACAGGAAGACAGACGTAAACACACTGCTGTCAACAACAATTGTACGTGCACAAGTGTGTGTGTGTGTGTTTGTGATCACGCACGTCTACATTTACATACATAAACTCCAATTTGTCTTGGTTTCAGTGTGGATGGAGCAGACAGAGGGGAACTGAGACACTACATTTAATTTGTGTTGTCTGCAGGGAAACTTCTCGTCCATGTATCAAGTCAAATGTTTGAAGTCCTGAAGCTGCTGATTATTAAAGTTTAAACTTGTGACATGTTCAAAAGCCCCAGACGTGCATCATAAGTGGAGAGTTTTCTGTTTATGAGGTCAGGAAGGAATCGTCAAGCCAAATATGTGTTTTTGAATTAATCTATTTGTAGGGAAACTTCACTCGGACATCCTCACTCCAACCTCGTCACACATTGATGTTTGGTCGTGTACTTTCCACGTCCAGCTACGACGTCCAAGGTACCCTGGGTGTGTTGGTTGTTGGTTGCCGTGTCAACTTCAGCCTGTTACATGCATTGTCTGTTTTCAAAATACACTTCTGTTTTCACAGGAAATGTACAGTTTGCATACAGTCTCTTTCAAAATAAAAGCACTATGACAGTACAACAATACAAACTGACCTAAGCACGTGGTTGGGTTTAGGAAAAAAGAACAGGGTCTGGCTTTATAATCTTACAGGATGCAAACACCGCTCTCTTGCATTAAAGTCGGTGTTTGTTGGACACATCCACCACCCCTCCCACCCACCCGTACTCAGACTTCATCGCCTTAACTTCACTGTCCAAGCGCCCGACGACTTCAGTGTGAGACTGAGCTGAATTGTTTTTCAAAAACTGTGATTTGACCTCATGCAAGAAAATGTTTCCCAGTGAAAGTGGGGGAAGATTGAGTGGTGAATTGAGCTCATCAATCTGAAGATTAGCTGCGTCTGAGTGTGTGAAACCAATGCAGTGACCAAGACTGCTGACATTTCTGTGCTAGCTGGTGTCAGTCTCGCCGGATTGGCGAGTTGATCTGAGGTGTCCAATTTTCCGCCTCGTAGGGTAGTCATATTGGTGGAACACGTTTAGTTTAAACAGTCCGAGGCGGCCTTCTGCAACGGCAGGGGCTGTTGAAGACTTGTGGGAGGAGCTGTTGATGACGCTGCACGTGCGAGCCACTGGCGGTGGATAAACAGGAAACAGCTGATAGCAGGAATTAGCGAGCAGCTAGTAGCAAGAGGGAAACACAAACCTGACAGACACTGTAAAGATGAGCAACTGAGGAGACAAGGAATTGTGCGCCCTCCTTGTCCTCGCAAACAAAGAGGCCATTAACCGTCAGATGACGGGGACGGTGAAGGACGGGCCGACTTATGAGAGAATCGCCGAAGGACTGACCAGCCGCGGCTTCCCTCCCACGTCACTATTTACGTCACACGCTGAGCTACACGTTTTGTTACTTGCTCACGCCCCCCATTGCCCCGAAAAAGGCACATTCTGTATGAACAAAAGTAGGTAGGCGGCATTTTGCTGCACTCCCCGATTTTGTTTTTATACTGCCGATGCTGAAAAAAGACTGATTGGGCTTTCCTGCAAATTTGCACAGTTCCTATCTAAAAAGGGTTTATGATGAGGGTAGGCAACCTGCGACTCTTTAGCCCTTCTCAAGTGGCTCAATGTCACTTTAACAAAAAAGTAGGTGACCCACCCTACTCGAACTTGCGTCGCCTTAACTTACGTTGTTGTCCCACTGCGTTTCCCCCTGACGCCGCCAGACACCAGTGAACAATTACAGGGACCAGCTGTGTATCATGCTGACATGAGAGGACGGCTTTTTTCATCAGTGTTTGAAGCAGGAAGTCACTGACCATTCAAGTTAACGGAGCACTAAACCCCCCCCCCCCCCCCCCCCCCCCCCCCCCCCCCCCCCCCCCCCCCCGGCATAACCCAAGTTTAGTAAAGAGGGGCTTTCTGATGACGTACTATTTTCAATTCTGATGGTAAAAAATGTCAACTCTCGTTCATGTATTGATGCTACACCATCGCAGCTCATCTCTGAACACTCTGGTCTGTTTATATTTTACCGTCGCTCAGCGCTACGTCACGTTTGGTTGCTCTGATGGGTTGAAGGTCCGGCCAACTGCATCTGATCCACGACCGTTGATAACAGCCTTACTGAGAGTTTTTGGACTAACTTGAATATTACAATTTGGTCCTGCGATGTCGGACTACCTCAAGAATGCATTTTGTGAGAAACACTGAATATAAATTTAACTTTTGTTTGTTCTCTGCACAGGGCACCTTTAACAGCTCTAAAACATTTTTGACCACGAACACTGGTTCTATGTGTTGAAGTATGAAGGGTGACTGATGTTGATGTGCATGATTTAACTTTATAGCATTTATGGTCAATGGCTTTCTGTAGGAAACATTAAAAGTTACATTTCCTGAGTTCAGAAGGTCGCTTTTTGGATTTGGATGTACTTTAAGAAACTGAGAGGTCTGAAGAGGCAGTGAGGGCCTGTGATCTGTGAGTCTTCCTTAAATGTACATTCAGTGCTGCTTTTCTTGAGCAGTTTGCACCACTAAGTGCACTTCTGCACTGATGCTTTCTCTCTAATTTTGCTGAGCATTTGAGAATGGGAAATGTCATACTGACACGCCAGTCTGCTGCTTTCAAAACCAGTTTAATAAGTGAAACCACATAAACTCAAAGAGCCCTGAGAAAGCCGAGAGGACATGAAACCATCAGGGTCTCAAACTGTCACGTGACAACAGACATCTATTCATTTTTCTGCCAAAATAAGTTTGCAGAAGTTTTAACGAGTATATTTATCTCCATGTATTTCTTAATTTGTGTTTGCTCTCCTCGGCACAGCGGAGTGTCACTGTGCTGATTAAATGACATTACATGTGGACCCGGCACTTTAACCCAGCCCGAGCTCAGATTCCAGTGGTTAACCGCACATATTTACAACCAGAAGACAAAAGTCGCAGCAAACTCTGCGAGTCCCTCTGTTAAATATACACATGGATTTTCCCTTTTTAACTGTGTGTTTTCATACTGAGTAAATATGTCATCCAACTAAACAGCTTTCACAGTGATTTCCATCTGCAGGGAGAAATACTACATAGCTTGTATTTTGTTAATTGTATGTGATCTTGAAACTCTGTCCGTTACTTGTAGTGAAAATATTAACATCTTAGATCATCTGTGTTTATTCATTACGAGCTTTGAACATCAGAGAGTGTTTCCACGCTAAGAAGCTTTGAGTGGTGACTAGGAGCTGTTGGTTTTCTCTTGTGTAATGACTTTTACAAACTCTCATCTTTCTGTTTTCTTTTAGTCTCATTTCTGTTAAAGCCCAGAGTGACTAACAGGATGAGACTGCACTCATCAGGTCGTCTAATGAGGCTGTTAAATGTTTGGAACTGGTCAAAAACCGGCCGCCAGATACGATGAGACAGCGCTGTGCGAGGTGACGTTACATGGACGGATACTCTTCTGAGGCCGTTATGCTCAGAATTCTTTTTCCCCCAAGGCTCAGCTTTATTTTCATAAGATAAAGGACTGTACGTGTAGCTGTAGTTACAATAGAAAAACACAATAAAACTAATTTATATTTGTAAGGACATTTTAGCTGATGGAAGAACTCTTTACCTAAAGAAACAGTCTGTAAGATTTAGGGAGATTTAGTGGCACCAAGGGTTTAGAATTGCAGATTGCAACCAGCTGAAAGCTTTTACCAAGAGCCAAATTATCCACAGAGGTCTCGTCCTCTCCAAAACAAACTGACCAGTTAATTTAAATCAGTACAAAGAGTGAATAAAGCAGTGTCACATTACAAATCAGTGTTTTTCTTTAACTTAAGATCCAGTCATTCAGGAGGTTTTTACAGGGAGCCAAATTATCTGCAGAGATGTTTTTCTCTCTGAAAGAATCATTTCTAAACATTGTGTGCACACAAATTGAGACCTGAAAGAGGCGTACGCCACTTCCAGCACAAATGTTGTGAGACTCAATGGGAGAAACTTTGACCCATGATTATGAACATTTTGGAGACTGTAAATTGGCGCAGATGGTGAGGTGGAAGACTGATGGCAGAAATTGTCGAATATTAATTTTAATTTATATACTTTATTAATCCCCCTGTGGGGAAATTCATTTTTTCACTCCGTTGTCATTTGCACACAGGTCTGAAATACACACACATGCACAAACAGGACCTATACATGCACAAAGTGGAGAGATGTCAGAGTGAGGGGGCTGCCATGGACAGGCCCCGAGTGGTTGGGGGGTTCGGTGCCTTGCTCAAGGGCACCTCAGCAGTGCCCGGGAGGTGAACTGGCACCTCTCCAGCTACGAGTCCACGCACCATATTTGGTCTGGATGGGGACTTGAACTGGCGACCCTCCGGTTCCCAACCCAAGTCCCTATGGACTGAGCTACTGCCGCCCCAGTTATTTGGTACATGTCATTTTTTGGCTTTTGTCTGTCCCTCCCCAGACGGCGTAACGCCCATGCACACTTGGACCCATCTAACGCTAACACCACACATGTGACCTCAACGACTCTGTAAGGGTTCACACCCACACAGGGTTTAAAGCCTGTGGCTCTGCACCAGTCCGTTAGAACTGAAGAAGCTTCTTGGATGAGAGGTGAAACATTTTCGAGAAACCAGTTGCCTACGATACAGCACTTAAGATTACCATGACCTGGATGACTGAGAATCTTCGCCAGCCT